TTCTTGGCAGAATGGGGTTGGACTGGATGGCCCACGAGGTCTCTTCCAACTCTTTGATTCTATGATTCTAATAATAATGTCAGTAAAATAATAATAATAATAATAATAATAATAATAATAATATGCATGGCTTAATGTGTTGTGAGTCTTGGGGAATAATAATAATAATAATAATAATAATAATAATAATAATGTCAGTAAAATAAATAATAAAACAAATAATGTGCCAGTAAAATAATAATATTTGTGTCAGTATAATAATAATAATAATATGTATGACTTAATGTGTTGTGAGTCTTGGCCAAGAAAGAAAAATGGGGAATAATAATAATAATAATAATAATACCAACAATAGTAATGATGACGATTGGTTTGCCTCCGCTTACCCTGCTGCCTCTGGGTGGGCGAAGGGTCCTCTGTCGGGACTTCTGCCGTTTCTTCGGAGCGAAGCTCTTCCACGGGAAGGGCCTGGAAGAAGGAGAGAGCGGTCAAAGGAGAGCGGGGGCGGGCCTGCCGGACGGGGACGATGGGATCTGCAGTCCCACCCCAGCAGAGGGAGGAAAACACCCAATAAGGACTAAGCCTTTGTTGATGCGAGTTTTCTGGGCTGCCTGGCCATGTCCAAGCAGCATTCTCTTCTGCCGTTTCGCCTGCATCTGTGGCTAAGGCCATCCTCAGGGGTGCTGCTGGCAGTGAGGCAAGTGGAGTGAGTCTATATCCTATGGAATGATGTGCAGGGTGGGGGAAAGAACCTTGGTCTGCTTGAAGCAAGGGTGGATGTTGCAATTGGCAAGCTTGAATAGCATTGAGTAGCTTTGCAGCTGCAAAGTCAATCAGTGAGGGTCCCTGCATGGAAGTCGTGCAAAGTCAACCAGTGAGGGTTCCTGCGTGGAAGTCGTGCAAAGTCAATCGGTGAGGGTACCTGCGTGGAAGTTGTTCAAAGTCAATCAGTGAGGGTCCCTGCATGGAAGTCATGCAAAGTCAATCAGTGAGGTTCTCTGCATGGAAGTCATGCAAAGTCAATCAGTGAGGTTCTCTGCATGGAAGTCATGCAAAGTCAATCAGTGAGGGTCTCTACATGGAAGTCGTGCAAAGTCAATCAGTGAGGTTCTCTGCATGGAAGTCATGAAAAGTCAATCAGTTAGGGTCTCTGCCAGGGTACCTCTAGGTAGATACTCTCACACTGATTCACTTTGCAGCACCCATGCTATTCAAAATTGCTCATTGCAAACTTGCTTTCAACAAAGGTTCTCTCTCTCACCCCGGGCATCATTCCAGAGAGGGTGCCTCCAGGCAACAACGGCCAAGCCACCTCTAGGCAGACACCCTTGCTGATTGACTTTGAAGCTGCAAGGCTACTCAATGCCAATCAAGCTGGCCAACTGCAACATTCACACTTGCTTTAAACAGACCAGGGTTCTCCTTCCCACCCTGGACATCATTCCAAAGAGGGTGCCTCCAGGCAACAACGGCCAGGCCACCTCTACGCAGAGATCCTCACTGATTGACTTTGCAGCTGCAAGGCTACTCAATGCTATTCAAGCTTGCTCATTGCAACAGAAGACATCATTCCACAGGTGTATGTGTGTATGTGTATAGAGAGAGAGAGAGAGAGAGAGAGAGAGCGCTACACTCCACTTGCTTCACTGCCAAAAGAACCTCTGAACATCTGAAGATGCCATTAGGCAAAGATGCAGGCAAAACATCAGGAGAGAATGCTGCTGGAACACGAAAAGTCACAGCAATTCAACCATTATTATTGTTGTTGTTGTTGTTGTTGTTGTTGTTATAGGAGTGGGAGGGCCATGTCTCACCTCCGATCCGGCCATCACCCAGCTGTTGTTGTCGGACTCCCGGGAGTCTGAGCGGTCAGCCATGGCGGCGCATGCCCAGCCAAGCCCGGCCAAAGGGCGGCCCGGACCGGGGTGAAGTGGCCCTCTGTGAGGTCACCGGGGAAGGAAGGGAATGGAAAGAAGAAACAAAAGGGAAAAGAAGGAATGGAAGAAAGAAAGAAAGAAAGAAAGAAAGAAGAGAAGGAAGAAGGAAGGGAGGGAGGGAGGGAGGAGGAGGAGAAGAAAAAGGAACAAAGAAGAAAGGAAAGGAAGGAAGGAAAGAAAGAAAGAACAGAAGAGAGAAAGAAAGAAGAGAGAAAGAAGGAAGGAAGGGAAAGGAAAGAGGGAAAGGCATGAAGGGAGAAAAGGGAAAGAAAGGAAGAGAAAAGAAGGGAAGAAAGCAAGAAAGAATTAAACCCAGAACTATCTCAAGTGAAGAATCAAAATAATTAAAACCCATTAAAAATACATAAAACACCCCTCCCTCCAAAAAAGCTGGTCTTCAGAGCTTAATCCTAGAATCCGAGCAGAGTAGGAAGAGACCTCCTGGGCCATCATCCAGTCCAGCCCCATTCTGCCAAGAAGCAGGAATGTTGCATTCAAATCACCCCTGACAGATGGCCACCCAGCCTCTGCTTCAAAGCCTCCAAAGAAGGAGCCTCCAGGGCAGAGAGTTCCACTGCTGAACAGCTCTCACAGTCAGGAAGAGTGGGTTGCCAAGAGTGCCTCTGAGCTTGTCCCGAGTGCTTTGTGTTGGCTCTGCAGCCGCAAGAGAGAGAGAAGAGGAGCCCCTTGTTGCCCCCTCCCTCCTTCCCTCCTTCCCTTCCAGGCACAAAGTCTCCTGAGTTTTCCTGTCCACTCTGGGAAGGATTTGCAAAACAAACCCATGCAAAGAGGAGGCGGGGGGCAGAAGGGCACGATGGAACACAACACAACACACACACACACACACACACAACCCTTGTCGTACTTTTTCTTTTGCTCCCTGTAAATAGAACGGTTGCAAGAACTGAACTGCAAATGAGATGGAAAGACAATCCCTGAGAAAGAGAGAGAAAAGGAGAAATAGAGAGAAGAGAGAGAAAGAAAGAGGAGATAAAGAATGAGAGAAAGTGAAAGAAAGAGAAAGAGAAAGCGTGAAAGAGAGAAAGAAAGAAAAACAAAGACAAAGAAGAGAAAATGAAAGAGAAAAAAGCAAAAGAGAAAGGAAGAGAAAGAGAAAACAGAGAAAGGAAGACAGAGCACTCGAGAAAGAGAAAGAAATAGAGCAAGAGAGAGAGAGAGAGAGAGAGGAAAAAGAAAGAAAAATAGAGAGAGAAAGAGAAAGAAGGAGAGGGAAAGAGATAGAAAAAGGAGGAGAGAAAAAGAGGGGGGGGAGAAAAAAGGGAAGAAAAAGAAAGATCGAAAAAGAAATAGAAAAAAGGAAAAGAGGGAGAGGGAGAGAAAGAAAAAGAGAAAGAAAGAGGAAGAGAGAAAACAGAAAAAAAGACAGAGCAATAGAGAAAGAAAGAGAAAAGAGAGAGAGAGAGGAAAAAGAAAGAAAAATAGAGAAAGAGAAAGAAGGAGAGAGAGGGAAAGAAAGAAAGAAAGAGAGAAAGAGAGAAAGAGACAGAAAAAGAAAGGAGAGAGAAGGAAAGAAAGAAACAAAGGAAAGAAGGAGAAAGAAAAATAGAAAAAGAAATAGAGAGAAAAAAGAAAAAGGCAAAGAGGGAGAGAGAGAAAGAGAGAGAAATGTCCTTTATGTTCCTCTCAATTAATTAATTTGCTTGACGATCCTCCCAGCGGAGGGGCAGAAGGGGGCGAAGGGAAAACAGGCTGAGAGAAGTGTGGCCAAAGAGAGAGAGAGAGAGAGAGAGAGAGAGAGAAAGAAAGAAGGAGAGAAAGAAAGCGAGGCGGGGGCGCTGAGTGCCAAGGACGGGCTCCTTGTGCCCGGTCTCTTCTGGCCGGAGAGAGAGAGAGAGAGAGAGAGAGAGAGAGAGAGAGGGAATGCGGGGAATCCCAACCATGCCCTCTCTTTCCCAAGTTTGCCTGGTGTGTGTGTGTGTGTGTGTGTGTGTGTGCAAAAAAGGGCCAGGATAGCAACAGAAGGAGGCCTTGGCCCCGGGGATAGAGGCCCCCCCCCCCCCCGGAACTGGTTGCCCTGAAGCCAAACCCCCAAGAGCCCCTTCTATATTTATATATGTACAGTATTTCTATTCGGCCCTTCTCCTCACCTATGACCATGCACATGTACATGGCAAACATTCAATGCCAGACACCTACAACACGTATAGGCCATTCAACATTCCCGCTTTTCCAGCTTCAGGAGGGTATGCTTGCTTCCGGCCACAGGGGGAGCTGTGACACCGAGTTTTGGATGGAGTACTTCCTCATTCTTATGCACGCTGCTGGAAGGTTTTATGGCGCTGTAAATTAATTAAATTAGCCTCCCCGCATAAAGTGATACCTAAATTTCCTAGTGAAGAGAGAGGGGGCCAGGAAGACAGCTCCTCCTTGTCATCAGTTGGGGACCCCTCCCCCCAGCATCAGAGTGAAGAGAGAGGGGGCCAGGAAGACAGCTCCTCCTTGTCATCAGTTGGGGACCCCTCCCCCCAGCATCAGAGTGAAGAGAGAGGGGGCCAGGAAGACAGCTCCTCCTTGTCATCAGTTGGGGACCCCTCCCCCCAGCATCAGAGTGAGGAGAGAGGGGGCCAGGAAGACAGCTCCTCCTTGTCATCAGTTGGGGACCCCTCCCCCCAGCATCAGAGTGAGGAGAGAGGGGGCCAGGAAGACAGCTCCTCCTTGTCATCAGTTGGGGACCCCTCCCCCCAGCATCAGAGTGAAGAGAGAGGGGGCCAGGAAGACAGCTCCTCCTTGTCATCAGTTGGGGACCCCTCCCCCCAGCATCAGAGTGAAGAGAGAGGGGGCCAGGAAGACAGCTCCTCCTTGTCATCAGTTGGGGACCCCTCCCCCCAGCATCAGAGTGAAGAGAGAGGGGGCCAGGAAGACAGCTCCTCCTTGTCATCAGTTGGGGACCCCTCCCCCCAGCATCAGAGTGAAGAGAGAGGGGGCCAGGAAGACAGCTCCTCCTTGTCATCAGTTGGGGACCCCTCCCCCCAGCATCAGAGTGAAGAGAGAGGGGGCCAGGAAGACAGCTCCTCCTTGTCATCAGTTGGGGACCCCTCCCCCCAGCATCAGAGTGAAGAGAGAGGGGGCCAGGAAGACAGCTCCTCCTTGTCATCAGTTGGGGACCCCTCCCCCCAGCATCAGAGTGAAGAGAGAGGGGGCCAGGAAGACAGCTCCTCCTTGTCATCAGTTGGGGACCCCTCCCCCCAGCATCAGAGTGAAGAGAGAGGGGGCCAGGAAGACAGCTCCACCTTGTCATCAGTTGGGGACCCCTCCCCCCAGCATCAGAGTGAAGAGAGAGGGGGCCAGGAAGACAGCTCCTCCTTGTCATCAGTTGGGGACCCCTCCCCCCAGCATCAGAGTGAAGAGAGAGGGGGCCAGGAGAGAGTTCCATCTTGTCTCCTGTGGCCAAGCCGTCCCGCTGAGGTAAGGAGGGGAGGGGCGGGGCGGGGGTGGGGGGCCGCGGGGGGGGCCCGGGGCCGGGGCGGGGCCGGGCGCGTGGGGGCCAGGAAGAGCTGGCCTGGCCAGGGCGGGCCGTAGGGGCAGGCCGGGGGGGGCCGTGGTGGGCCGGGGGCTCGGGGTGGGCGCGGGGGTACAGGGGCGGGGGTGGGGGGGGGCTTCGTGTGGCCAGGGTCGGGGCGGGGGGGTTGCCCCGGGCGGCGGGCCGGGCGGGGGGCGGCCTGGCCAGGGGGGGGGGGAAAAAAACAGGGCGTGCGTCGGGGGCGGCGAGGGCGTGGGGCGGCGGTGGGCTGGGCTGAGGGCGGAGGGGGGCCGGGGGGGGCCGCGGACAGGGGGGCTTTGGGGGTGGGCGGGGCGGGCGGCCAGGGGGCACGGTTGGCCGGGGGGGCTGGGGGGGGGGTGGGAGGGGCGGCCAGGATGGGGGCAAGGGGCCAGTGGGGCGGCGGTGGGGCCCAGGGAGGTCCTCGGGGTGGGGGCCGGGTGTTGCGTGGTCGGCGGACGTGGGCAGGGAGCGGGTGGGGGGCCGTGGGGGGGAGGGGCCGGGGGGGGGGCGGCTGGGGGGGCTGAGGAGAGAGGGGGCCAGGAAGACAGCTCCTCCTTGTCATCAGTTGGGGACCCCTCCCCCCAGCATCAGAGTGAAGAGAGAGGGGGCCAGGAAGACAGCTCCTCCTTGTCATCAGTTGGGGACCCCTCCCCCCAGCATCAGAGTGAAGAGAGAGGGGGCCAGGAAGACAGCTCCTCCTTGTCATCAGTTGGGGACCCCTCCCCCCAGCATCAGAGTGAAGAGAGAGGGGGCCAGGAAGACAGCTCCTCCTTGTCATCAGTTGGGGACCCCTCCCCCCAGCATCAGAGTGAAGAGAGAGGGGGCCAGGAAGACAGCTCCTCCTTGTCATCAGTTGGGGACCCCTCCCCCCAGCATCAGAGTGAAGAGAGAGGGGGCCAGGAAGACAGCTCCTCCTTGTCATCAGTTGGGGACCCCTCCCCCCAGCATCAGAGTGAAGAGAGAGGGGGCCAGGAAGACAGCTCCTCCTTGTCATCAGTTGGGGACCCCTCCCCCCAGCATCAGAGTGAAGAGAGAGGGGGCCAGGAAGACAGCTCCACCTTGTCATCAGTTGGGGACCCCTCCCCCCAGCATCAGAGTGAAGAGAGAGGGGGCCAGGAAGACAGCTCCTCCTTGTCATCAGTTGGGGACCCCTCCCCCCAGCATCAGAGTGAAGAGAGAGGGGGCCAGGAAGACAGCTCCTCCTTGTCATCAGTTGGGGACCCCTCCCCCCAGCATCAGAGTGAAGAGAGAGGGGGCCAGGAAGACAGCTCCTCCTTGTCATCAGTTGGGGACCCCTCCCCCCAGCATCAGAGTGAAGAGAGAGGGGGCCAGGAAGACAGCTCCTCCTTGTCATCAGTTGGGGACCCCTCCCCCCAGCATCAGAGTGAAGAGAGAGGGGGCCAGGAAGACAGCTCCTCCTTGTCATCAGTTGGGGACCCCTCCCCCCAGCATCAGAGTGAAGAGAGAGGGGGCCAGGAAGACAGCTCCTCCTTGTCATCAGTTGGGGACCCCTCCCCCCAGCATCA